ACGCATGTTTTCACCGAAAAACCTGGGCCCGTATTCCGACGCACTCTCTTAGGGATTTGGGTTTGGGGATTAGGCTTTCAGGGTTTGGGGTTTAGGGATTAGGGGGGTCAAGGAGCTTAGGGTTTGGGGATTATGATTAGGGTTAAGGGGTTAAGGGACTAGGGTTTAGGGGGGGTTTAGGGTTTAGGGGGGGTTTACAGTCAAAGGTTTTGGGTCCAAGGTTCAGGGTTTAGGGCTAGCAGGGAATTAAGGAAATATACTATATAGGGACTATGCAGGGATTGTATTCCCTTGTTTCCCTACTAACTGAGAACCAGTAAGTTAAGGGATTTGGGTTTAGGGTGAGGCATGTCGCAGCAATGCCAATTAGCAAATGCTTCAGGATCACCACTCGACCTCACTTGAAGTCTCAAGAAGTTTTGGCGGAAGAGAAAACCAAGTTTGGGGCAGGGGTGTTTTCTCTGGTGGTTTCCCAAAATTCAGGGTACATTTTTGGTGGTCCCTACAACATACTATTTTGGGGGTCTACGTTGGGGCCCCCTTACTTATGGAAACTAACATGCCTGCTACCTCACAGATTTGACGGCATGTCCTGGTCGTCCGAGTCCGTGACATTGTGAGCCCTCAACGACTGGGCCGCGCAGCGGCTAAACCAAAGCAGCAGTAGCAACAGCCGGAGAGGCGCCGACCCGACACCCAAAGCCATGCTCCGAAACGCCCCTCTTAGAGGGAGGACTGGCTACAAAAATGTTCAGTGATATGAGGGTTCTGGCAACCCAAAGCACCCAACTTAGGACCCTTGTATACTTATTCATGTACTAGCTATGGCGTCCTATCTGGGCGGTTGGGCAGAAATGTGAATTGTCTTACTGCCTGGGTTGTACGACTAAGTAAGGCCATGTGTGACACTGACCTGCAGTGTAGGTACCTAGCTGCACTAGTCAGCGGATTAATTTCAATTGACCACCAGTACGCACAATCATCGCTATAACAGCACTTCCAGCATCAACAACAACGATTTATGGCCTGAGTACTAAAACCGCGTAAATGACTAGCACAACTATGTCTATGACTATTACCATGACTCTTGCGATGACAATTACTATCACGGAGCAGAGCTGCGTATACTTGTTTCACAGTTGACTCAGCGTCGTGCTGGTGACGAGCCTCAGTCACGCAATCTTACATCCGGCAGTCGCATCTAGCGCGGTGCAAGGACAATCGCAAAGAAGGTGCAGGCTACCCTTGATACTCTGATCATCCCAAATCAGTAGCGTTTTTTTTGGTGGTTGAACCCAGTAAGACCTGAACCCTAAAAGTAGGTAAAATAATAGCCCACATCATCTAAA